TCTGCTTAAGCGGGAATAATGAGCTGCCATTTACAGCCCATAGAGTTGGTCTCAGATGAAGCTGTAAAATAAAACTGTACTGCCAATTGTACAGCACAATTCAAGTAGAAACATGTTTTCAGCATCATCTTTAAATTATCTTCACATAGAAGGACTAACACGTCTGTTGGAAAAAGGAGTGAAGAAATGAATGAGTGACTTGCTCCTGTGAAAACTCCACAGGAACTCTTGTGGTAGCTTCGCCCATCCCTCCTTCTTCCCAGTACTCACCCATTGAGGCTGATTGACTTTCCCCCTTTTCCCTTAGTCTGCCAGGCGCCCTGATCCCAAAGTGCATGTATAGTCACCAGCCACCATTCATAATTGCTAGTGACCTTCCCCTCCGCGTGCCCTAAAATATTGGGAGAATACTCTCTGAACCATCTGGGCTCACTTCCCACTCCTGATCCTCCCTGTACCTAGCAATGTCTAAGAAGTTGTTTGGTTAATAATAAAACTCTAAAAACACTACGGGAGACTAGACATACTGATTCAAAGAAACTTAGAGCTAAAAGGGTCCTGAGAGTCCATCTTAACCACTCTCCTAATTTTATAGATGCAACCGCTGAGGTTCGCAAAGTTGAAAGGGCTGCATTGGGTCCACTCAGGCAGTTAATGCAAGAACCACTAAATCCAAGACTCTGGACTGACTTAACCAGTGCAATGGTCTTTCCAATTTATAGTTCTGAAAGAGGGCTGCAGAAAGAGAAAGCGGAGGGAGCCCTGGGACTGTCTGTACTTGGGACCGTCATTAGATGGATGAATGGATTTCAGAAGGTCTGTCTTTGCTGCCCTCGCTTCTCAATTTTGAAGACCTCGCTTTAAAAACAGCTTCAGCCTATGCACTGCCCTCAGTGCTATGTCCCACTGAAGCGAACTGTTTATTCTAGGCAGTGTTCTTTTTTTGATTTATGCTTCAGGGGACTGAAGATTTAGTGCCCACCTTCTTGTTTGTTTGTATGCTTTTTATGTTTTATAGCATGAGAGGGGGAATTCGGTTGATGACCACCTGGAGAGCTTATCGGGGAAAATCCTAAAGGGTTGATTCCAACTTTGCTGAGTAAAGGGGTTGCATCAAGTCTGAGCAACCTGGAGCAGGCTAGAAAAATCTCAGTGGTCTTTTTTTGGAGGGGGGAGCTTTTTTAAATTGAGGTCTAATTGACATACGTTATATTAGTTTCAGGTGCACAAGATAAAGATTTGTCCATGTTGCAAAATAATCATCACAAAAAGTCTAGCCTAAATCCATCAGCATATGCAACCACAGAACTGTTTTCTTGTGATGAGAACTTTTTAAGATCTAGTCTTAGCAACTGTTGAAGACACAATGCAGTATTAACTATAGCCACCATCTGTCCATGACATCTCCATGGCTTCTTTATTTTATAACTGGAAGTTGGTACCCTTTGACTCCATCTGTGTGATCCATCCCTTACCCACTGCCTCTAGTGACTACCAGTCTGTTCTCTGGATCTATGAGCTTGATTTATTTGTTTTTGCTTGTTTTGGGTTCCGTGTATATGTGAAATCATATGGTATTTGTCTTTTTCTGTCTGACATTTCACTTAGCATGATGCCCTCAAGGTCCATCCATATTGTCCCAAAGGAGAGGAGTTCTTCATTTTTTAATGGCGTAATAATATAATATTCCATTTTGTGTATAGGCCACATTTTCTTTATACATTCATCTTTCAGTGGACACTTAGGTTGTTCCTATATCTTGATTATTATAAATAATGCTGCAGTGAACATCGGGGTGCAGGTATCTTTTTGAATTCGTGTATTTATTTTTCTCAGATAACTACCCAGCAGTGGAATTGCTGGATCAGATAGTAATTCTAGTTTTAATTTTTTGAGGAACCTCCATAATGTTTTCCACGGTGGCTGTGTTCCCACCAACGGTGCACCAGGGTTCTCTTGTCTTCACACTCTCACCAACGCTGGTTCCTTTTCGTCTTTCTGGCAATAGCCACTCTAACAGGTGTGAGGCGGTATCTCATTGTGGCTTTGGTTTGCATCTCCCTGATGATCAAGGGTGTTGAACATCCTCTCGCATGAGCCTACTGGTCGCCTGCAGTCTTCTTTGGAAAATGTCTATTCAGATCTTCTACCCATTTTTTTAAATCAGATTTTCTTTTTGCTATTGAGTTGTATGAATGCTTTATATATTTTGGATATTAGGCCCTTATCAGATACATGGTTTGCAAAGATTGTCTCCCATTCTGTTGGCTGCCTTTTCATTTCGTTGGTTCCCTTTGCTGTGCAGAAGCTTTTAAATTTGATGTCATCCCTCTTGTTTATTTTTTTCTTGTCTTCTTTGCTTTTGTGTCAAGTTCAAAAATCAAAACCAAGACCAATGTCAAAGAGCTTATCAGTGGTCAGATTTCTAGTTTCTAAAGTTTTGTGTTTTGGAGTGTGAAAATTAGCTCAAGGGACCTCCTCAGTTGTTCTGTAGAGGACCGGGAGCTCTAATATCAAGCATACTCATCAAAAGTTCCTGAAATTGAAGATGCTAATCAGACTGTCCACGAAGTGACCAGACGTGGTCAAAAGATCAAGGACAGTCCTTGTCTCTCTGGGTGTCTCTCAGCGTGACTTTAGCCAGCACCTTCACCCAAAATATTTTCTATTTCTCTTTTGCAACACATTTCCCAGCTGGTTGCAATATATAAATTGCACTAACAACAAATCTTGAAAGATAATGTGTTCACTTTGGAAATGGGATGATTTCAGGAGCCCTAAAGAAGACTCTAAATCATAACTAGAATGCTATCTTAGTCATGGAAAAGTGTAATATTACTAAAAGTCCTTATGTTTGCAGAGTATAATAGAAATTACAACATGCTTTTATATTTATGAGTTCTTTTAAGCATTCTTTTTTCCTTGATTTATTCACAACTGTTCCATGAGTCTGTAACTGTGGCACTGCGGGTTAGTCGCTCAGCTAAGCAGTGGGGATGCAAAGCTTGGACTCAGGGCCTTCTGATTTTAGCTTCAGTGCTCTTTCTGCTACGTGAGGTGCTACGTCTCCTGGCATCTACTGTAGGCTGATATTCCTCCAGAATTATACTATGTACTCATAGCATGAAACAATGAAATACATAAAAAAGATTAAACTTTGCATTTAATTATTGTGGAGTAAGCACGTAGCTATTTGCTAAATTTCTCACTTTTTAACTGTGTCCGTTTTGATTATTCCGTTCCCATGCCATTTTGGTTGGTAAGTATTTTGCGTATCACCTGGTTATGACTCCATCACCAGGCTACATTTTCTTTGTTTGCTGTTGTTTTCTAATTAAAAAAATTTTGCATTGCGATACAGTACAAATAACACTACCATCTTAACCATTATAAAGTGCACAGTTCAGCAGCATTAATTGTTCAGCCAATCACCAGAACTCTTTTCATCTTGCAAAACTGAAACTCTATACCCACTGAAGAATTCCCCATTCCTCCTTCTCCCTCAGCAGCTGGCAACACACCTTCTGTTTCTGCGAATTTTGCTATGAATTACTCTATATAGCACATATAAGTGGAATCGTACAGTGTTTGTCTTTTTATGACTGGCTTATCTCACTTAGCATAAAATCCTTCAGGTTTATTCATGTTGTAACATATGTCAGAGTTTCTTTCATTGTATGGGTACTACCTTTTGTTTATCCATCCATCCATCCATCCACTGATGCCCACTTGGGCTGTTGCCACCGTTTGGCTATTGTGAACAAAAGTAAAATGAGCATGAGGTTAAAAAGTGAATGCATTTCTAAAGGGCTTACAATGTCCTTATTCTCATCAGTTTGCCCTCTTGTCATGTTCCCCAGAGGCAACCTTTTTCAACTCTTTTGTTTGTCCTTCTGGTCCTTGAATCCACAGTCTTAAATAATATGCTAATACTGTGATTTCTTGATTTATCTCTTATCTTATTTTGTGACTATAGCAAAGATTTAGCATTCTTCAACCACCCTCTCCTTCTGTCCCTCCCATTCTCCCACTGTGGCTATGTGAATATGTTTAGTTAATTCAGTAATACTATGTCATTTACTTCTGAGCTATGTATTGTAAATAAATCATGGTTCCTTTCTTTTTTCCCTTAGATTTAATAATTGCCTCATTTTAAAGTATGGTCTATTTTCGATGTAGTTTCTCTATATCTAGTACTAATACTTTCGATAAACTCCAATGGCTTCTTACTACAAGCTTGGATAGAGTCGATTATGTCAGGCAGTTCATGAATCCCTGGTTTCCTGGGCGTGCTCCCTCCTGGAAGCCCTCTGTTCTCACACTTGTCCAGTCTACAAGAATTGACTTCAGACAGGCTCCATTGTCTGAACTGAACTAGCTGCTCAGCTTCGGGAACAGTGTTGGACAGAATTAGTCCCTCTCCTCATTGGCTCAGGTCTGATTTGTTCATCTATTAATCCTTTGAACCCCTTTTTCAAGTGTGCTCTGGGGCCCAACCCTACCCCCAGGAGCTGGAGATGGGTCAGAGGGGTGGCGTGGAGAGACACTGCAAAAATCTCAATTTCCTCATCTCTACAGTTGGAATTATAAAGTTTACATCACAGAATCCTTCTGAAAATCAATTGCTATCAGCTCGCTGGAAGCGCTTACTAAATGGTGGAAATAGAAGGTGACATTATTTTTATGCAAGAAAGAACAAAACAGTTAATGCATGGAGCGTCCTACAGTACACGTCGGCAGATACAGTGAGCGATAAGCTTCTCTTGTGTGGGAGCTGGGTGCTGGTCAATGTTACATTTTTGGGCCCTTGCATGGTGTCTGACATGTGATGAATGTTTGAAGGAAGAATAAATTAGTTTCGTAAGAAAATAAGAAGTCAGTGCCAGAGGAAATGTACAGAAAGTAAATCCTATGGCAGCTCACGGAAGTGAGAAAATTCATTTATGCGGAGAGATGTTACGGCAATTTTTGTGTAGGCTCAATTTAAGAAAGAATTTTCTAAAAATAGAATGATTAACTATGGAATGAATTGTCATAAGATTATCATACATGGAGGTGAGTTCTTTGCCCTGGAAGTATTCTACAGAAGGCTAGAAAAAAATCACTGGTCAGAAATCTTCTGTACTGTATGTAATAAAAATATAATAATCTAGTACTAATGCCTACACATTTTCAAAGTAATTTTCCATTAATCTTTTCATTTGATTCTTACTATGATTACAGTACTGTGAAAGTGGCAGCAATACATGCTAAGCACTTTTCTATATATATTATTAATGTATTAATTATTATACTATATTAATTACATATTAATATAATGTATGTAAATCCACTTAA